CAGCCTGAGCTGAGAGACTTCAGTAGTGTCAGCCTGAGCTGAGAGACTTCAGTAGTGTCAGCCTGAGCTGAGAGTGTCTCACCTCACATCGTCCCAGAGGTTATCGTCATGAACGAAGAAATAAGCAAAATAAAGACAGTAAAACCGAATTGCTTCCCCAGTGTTCCAAATTTTTCATTTTGTAAAACTGGCGAAATTGCAGTCAGCTGTATCAGTGTTGATGATCTTGACTGATGTAGCCCCCCCCCGCTGCCACCCCCCCGCTGCCACCCCCCCGCCTGCACCACCCCCCGCTGCCACCCCCCGCTGCCACACCCCCCCGCTGCCACCCCCCCGCTGCCACCCCCCCGCTGCCACCCCCCCCCCGCTGCCACCCCCCGCTGCCACCCCCCCCCCCGCTGCCACCCTCCCGCTGCCACCCCCCCCGCTGCCACCACCCCCCGCTGCCACCCCCCCGCTGCCACCCCCCCCGCTGCCACCCCCCCCCGCTGCCACCCCCCCCCCGCTGCCACCCCCCCCCCCCGCTGCCACCCCCCTCATGATCACCACACTTGTTATCCTGTTATCTCTCCTCCATCTCAAACGTTATCAACTACACATTATTACCTAGTTATCATAATTATTCACTTATTTTTTATCCTGCTGTGTGTTTCTTAATAGTCTTAGAAGTCATTTAACTTGTCTATAACCAACTTTATATATATATATATATATATATATATATATATATATATATATATAATATATATATATATATATATATATATATATATATATATATATATATATATATATTATAAATATTATATATTTATAGACTGACAATATGCACTTTATCACCTCCAGGTGATAGCTCCTGGGCCGTGAGGGTTAACAGTACAGGTTTGTTGAGGTTATGGCTGGAGTTTGTCTTGTTGTTACGGCCTCTTAGACATAGCCACTGTGCTCCTGGCTTCAGACCTGACCCGCCAGGCTCTCTGTTTCGCCCATTACTACCTTTCTTCCGCTTCTTTTATCTGTAATATTCTAAGGGAAAACTTGGGAAAGGCGAGACGGATCATGTTCCTAATGTTTTCCAATTTATAGATTTTTTTTTTTAGATTTTTAGATTTATATTCTATTTATAGATGTACTTTTCTGTTTATAGATTTTGTTTTCCAATTTATAGATTTATTTTTTTGTTTATAGATTTTTTCCCGATTTACAGATTAATATTTCCGTTTTAAGGATTTATTTTTCCGATTTATAGATTTGTTTCCGATTTATAGATTTATTTTTATTCAGATTTAAGGATTTATTTTTTTCAATTTATAAAATGAATTTTTCTCGATTTATAGATTTATTTTCCCGATTTGCAGATTTATTTCTCTTCCTATAACCATTATGATTTAAATCTCACTTTTTTTTGCAATAAAAATCTGTGAATGTTCAACTTTATTCTAAATAATTTTTTTTAATTATTCAGATTTATTCGTCACTTTTCAAAAAGCTTTAAACTAGTAGATGCTTTTAATAAAGAACTGTAGACGTTTCCCTTCAGACGTTTCGCCCAGTGAGACCCATGGATCACTCACGAGCCTTTATCAAGACATGGCTTTATTGGGTAAAAGGTCACAGATATTAGTAAGGTGACATTTTATTGAGGCAACGTTTCGCTCTCCAGGAGCTTTGACATGGCTCCTGGAGAGCGAAATGTTGCCACAGTAAAATATTACTTTAGCTGCATCTGTGTCCTCTCACCTGACGTTTTGTTGGTGATTCTTCCATTATCCCTAAGACACGGTTTCGCTCACTTCTGAGTGAAACGTAGCGTAATAAAGACACGATAGAAGCTTCTTAAACGATTAGGCATTCATTATTTTTTTGGACACATCTCGCCCAAGAAAACACATTGACAGATGCAGAAAGTTAAGCCTCTATTGCTCAACGTATCGCTCACCTCTGAGCGAAACGTTGCTTAACAAAGTCTTATTCTGCCATGTCCTTGTATTAAGACAACTTGTCGATGTTTTGCCCTCCAACTAACAAAGCACTTTGTTAACTAACTATAAGAGTGAAACAACTGTGGGAGAGCAACGTATTTCTCTCGTGCGACATTTCGCACCTGAATATCTCTAGTTTAAGTAATGATGAAAGTATAACACAAATGGTTAAAATAAAATACATGCATGCACCTTTCGAACATTTTTATTCAGTGAGACGTTTCTCCCACCAATGTTCTCCCGGTCCAAGGATGGAAAAAATGGGCGAGACGTCTTATTCTATAAAAAAGTCCTGGGGTTTATTAAGCAACGCTGAGGGCGAGACATCGACAATAGTTGAGTCGTTCAGCTACGTGTGTCTCACTGACATGACTCATGTTATGTGTGTCTCACTGACATGACTCATGTTATGTGTGTCCCACTGACATGACTCATGTTATGTGTGTCTCACTGACATGACTCATGTGTGTCCCACTGACATGACTCACGTAAAGTGTCCCACTGACATGACTCATGTTACGTGTGTCCCACTGACATGACTCATGTTATGTGTCCCACTGACATGACTCATGTTATGGTGGTCTCCACTGAACATGGCTCTGTTATGTGTGCCCTCACTGACATGACTCATGTTATGTGTGTCTCACTGACATGACTCATGTTATGTGTGTCCCACTGACATGACTCATGTTATGTGTGTCTCACTGACATGACTCATGTTATGTGTGTCTCACTGACATGACTCATTTATGTGTGTCCCACTGACATGACTCATGTTATGTGGTCCCACTGACTGACTCATGTTATGTGTGTCCCACTGACATGACTCATGTGTGTCCCACTGACATGACTCATGTTATGTGTGTCCCACTGACATGACTCATGTTATGTGTGTCCCACTGACATGACTCATGTTATGTGTGTCCCACTGGCATGACTCATTTTTATATGTGTCCCACTGACATGACTCATTTATGTGTGTCCCACTGACATGACTCATGTTATGTGTGTTCCACTGACATGACTCATGTTATGTGGGTCCCACTGACATGACTCATGTTGTGTGTCCCACTGACATGGCTCATGTCATGTGTGTCCCACTGACATGAGTCATGTTATGTGTGTCCCACTGACATGACTCATGTTATGTGTGTCCCACTGACATGGCTCATGTTATGTGTGTCCCACTGACATGACTCATGTTATGTGTGTCCCACTGACATGACTCATGTTATGTGTGTCTCACTGACATGACTCATGTTATGTGTGTCTCACTGACATGACTCATGTTATGTGTGTCCCACTGACATGACTCATGTTATGTGTGTCCCACTGACATGACTCATGTTATGTGTGTCCACTGACATGACTCATGTTATGTGTTCTCACTGCATACTCATGTTCGTGTGTCCCACTGAACATGATCTTTTGTTTATGTGTGCCCACTGAAATGACCATGTTATGTGTGGTCCCCTGATAGACTCATGTACGTTGTCCCACTGACATGACTCATGTTAGTTTTCCCACTGACATGGCTCATGTTATGTGGGTCCACTGACATGAATACATTTAGTTATGTGTCAAGTTTGTCTCCACTGAGCTATGACTCATGTTGATGGTGTCTCCACAGACAATGATCACTTTAGTTGTGTCCCCACGACTGACTCATGTTATGTGTTCCCACTGACAGCTCATGTACGGTGTTCGCTCACTGAATGAAATCATGTGTCCCACTAACATGGACCAATTTTAAACGTTGTGCCATCATATTTTTGACACATTCGTCCCACACTGACAGATGCATGTAAAGTTGCCCACTGAACATGACTCACTTGAGTCCTCAACAGACATACTCATGGTGTCCACTGACTGACACATTTATGTTTTCCCTCAACATGACCTTCTACTTGGTGTACCCACTGAACAGACTATTTAGTGCCTTTCCACTGACATACTCTATGTAATGTCGACAGATATGACTCAGGGTTAATAGTCCATGCATGACCTTCGACATTTGTGTCCATGGACGTGTTCCCCACATGTTATGTGCTCGTCCCACAGGAGAATGGGAGACTCATTATTCCATATAAGCTGGTCTCATTAAGAACGTGCTGATACACTGACAATGACTCTGTGGTGTCCTCATGACTGACCTGTTATGTGTGTCCCACTGACATGACTCATGTTATGTGTGTCCACTGACATGACTCATGTTATGTGTGCTCACTGACTGACTCATGTTATTGTGTCCACTGACATGACTCATGTTTGTGTCCACTGACATGACTCATGTGTGTCCCACTGACATGTACTCATGTTATGTGTGTCTCCACTGACATGACTCATGTTTGTGTGCCACTGACATGACTTCATGTTATGTGTGTCCACTGACATGACTCATGTAGTGTTCCCACTGACATGACTCATGTATGTGTGTCCCACTGACATGACTCATGTTTGTGTGTCCAACTGACATGGCTCATGTATGTGTGTCTCACTGACATGCTCATGTTATGTGTGTCTCACTGACATGACTCATGTAGTGGTCCACTGACATGACTCAGTTAGTGTGTCCCACTGACTGACTCATGTTATGTGTGTCCACTGACATGACTCATGTTTGTGTGTCCCACTGACATGACTCATGTTACGTGTGTCCCACTGACATGACTCATGTTATGTGTGTCCCACTGACATGACTCATGTTACGTGTGTCCCACTGACATGACTCATGTTATGTGTGTCCCACTGACATGACTCATGTTATGTGTGTCCACTGACATGACTCATGTTATGTGTGTCCCCACTGCATGACTCATGTTATGTGTGTCCCACTGACATGACTCATGTTATTGTGTCCCACTGACATGACTCATGTTATGTGTGTCCCACTGACATGACTCATGTTATGTGTGGTCCCACTGACATGACTCATGTTATGTGTGGTCCCACTGACATGACTCATGTTATGTGTGTCCCACTGACATGGCTCATGTTATGTGTGTCCCACTGACATGACTCATGTTATGTGTGTCCCACTGACATGACTCATGTTTATGTGTGTCCCACTGACATGACTCATGTTATGTGTGTCCCACTGACATGACTATGTTATGTGTGTCCACTGACATGACTCATGTTATGTGTGTCCCACTGACTATGACTCATGTCTATGTGTGTGTCTCACTGACATGACTCATGTTATGTGTGTCCCACTGACATGACTCATGTTATGTGTGTCCCACTGACATGACTCATGTTATGTGTGTCCCACTGACATGACTCATGTTACGTGTGTCCCTGACATGACTCATGTGCGGTGTCCCACTGACATGACTCATGTTATGTGTGTCCCACTGACATGACTCATGTTATGTGTGTCCCACTGACATGACTCATGTTAGTGTTCCACATGACATGACTCATGTTAGTGTGTGTCCCACTGACATGACTCATGTTAGTGTGTCCCACTGACATGACTCATGTTATGTGTTGTCCCACTGACATGACTCATGTTATGTGTTCCCACTGAACATGACTCATGTTATGTGTGCCCCACTGACATGACTCATGTTAGTGTGTCCACTGACATGCTATGTTAGTGTGTCCACTGACATGACTATGTGTGTCCCACTGACATGCTCATTTACTGTGTCCCACTGACAGACTCTGTGTGTCCACTGACATGATCATGTGTGCCCCGACTACTATGTGTGCCCACTGACTGACTGTGTGTCCCACTGACTGACCATGTTATGTGTCCATGACATGATCTGTGTGTCCATGACTGATCATAGTTCCCACTGACATGACCATTGTGTCCATGATGACTCATGTTATGTGTCAGACATGATCATGTGTCCATGACTGTCATGTTATGTGTCCCACGAAGACCATTGTGTCCACTGACGTGACTCATGTGTGTTCCACTGACATGACTCATGTGTTCCACTGACTGACCCATGTGTGTGTCCACTGACATGACTCTGTGTGTCAACACAGCTCATGGTGTCCACTGACTGACAGTTGTGTCCACTGACAACTCATGTGGTCCTGATGACTCTGTGGTCCACTGACGTGTCCATGTTATTTGTCCACTGACATGACATGTGTGTCCACTGACGTGACTCATGTTATGTGTTCCCATGACATGACTCATGTGTCCCTGACTGACCCTTATGTTGTCCCACTGACTACTCATGTGTCACTGACTGCTCTGTGTGTGCACTGACGTGATCATGTTATGTGTGTCCCACTGACAGACTCATGTGTGTCACTGACATATCATTTGTCCACTGACTGACTCAGTTAGTGGTCCCTGAATGACTCATGTTCGTGTGTCCACTGACATGACTCATGTTACGTGTGTCCATGCATGACCATGTTGTGCCCACTGACATGATCAGTAGTGTGTCCCCTGCAGCTCAGTATGGTGTCCACTGAATATCATGTTGTGTGTCCTGACAGACCATGTTATGTGTCCCCACGCATACTCAGTTAGTGTGCCCACTATGACTCTGTTATGTGTCCCTTGACATGATCATGTCGTGCACGACATGATCATTTGTTCCCATGAATATCTGTTGTGTCTGACGACATTTGTCCACTGATACATGTTGTTGTCCGACAACTCATTTGTCCATGAATGATCAGTTATTGTGCCTGATGCTGTTGGTCCACTGAAGACTCATGTACGTTGTCCATGAATGACCTGTTGTGTTCCTGCATACTTGTAGTGTGCCTAATCTGTGCCACTGACTGATATGTTAGTGTCCACGAACTCAGTAGGTTCCTGCATAATCATGACCGTGTCCACGACAGTAGTTTTGTTCCCCTGAAGACCATGTACGGTCCCTAAGACCATAGTTCTCTTGACTGGCTTATTACTGGCCCAGACAGCTTGGTGTCCATGACATTCATGTTTTGTGTTCCCACTCAGACATGTTACTGTCCCTAACGCTCATTATGCCATGCATATTGTTATGGCGACATGCTCGGCCAAACCATTTACAACATTCTTACAACTCCACGTTATTAATTCAAATTAGTTATTTACCTATTTTATTCATATGTTGTAAATACTAGTTTTGTCATAATTAAACTGCTTGTATGTTATATATTGTTAAACCCACATTTCATTCTTCCACACAACAACCACTATGCCAGTTCCTCCATTTTGGTCCACGAGATGCCTGAGGAGGGAATGAAAGAAATGAGCATCGAGCCAAAACTAATTCAACAAATTCTTAATACAATGTTTATTCAAAATTTTGAATACCTATTTTTTCATAATGTAAATAATGTTTTTTTAGTCATAATGTATTAACTGCTGTTAGTAATATGTCGTACAACACCCACAAACACCCACCATGTGTACAATCATAACATGACGAAGATGAAGGAGGATAGTGTAACAGAACGCGAACACCAGTTTTCGGGACATGGACGAGAATGCTGAGGAGAGGGAGAAAGTGAGGAGAGAATATGACATGAAGATGAGGAAGATGAAGGAGGAAATGGAGACAGAACAGCAGAACAACGCTCTCCTCCAGGCGAACATGGAGAACCTCAGGAAGCAGTACGAGAACCAGATCAACGAGATTAAAATGAAGGAGGTGAGTCAGGTTCTTGTAGAACCCTCTGATAGCAGATCAACGAGGTTCATCACCAAGGTGGTGGGTGAGGTTCTTGTAGAACCCTCGGGTAGCAGATCAACGAGGTTTACCACCAAGGTGGTGGGTGAGGTTCTTGTAGAACCCTCGGGTAGCAGATCAACGAGGTTCATAATCAAGGTGGTTGTTGAGGTTCTTGTAGAACCCTCGGGTAGCAGATCAACGAGGTTTATCATCAAGGAGGTGGGTGAAGTTCTTGTAGAACCCTCGGGTAACAGATCAACGAGGTTTATCATCAAGGTGGTGGGTTAGGTTCTTGTAGAACCCTCAGGTAGCAGATCAACGAGGTTTATCACCAAGGTGGTGGATGAGGTTCTTGTAGAACCCTCGGGTAGCAGATCAACGAGGTTTATCACCAAGGTGGTGGGTGAGGTTCTTGTAGAACCCTCGGGTAACAGATCAACGAGGTTCATCATCAAGGTGGTGGGTGAGGTTCTTGTAGAACCCTCGAGTAACAGATCAACGAGGTTCATCAAGGTGGTGGGTGAGGTTCTTGTAGAACCCTCGGGTAACAGATCAACGAGGTTTATCATCAAGGTGGTGGGTGAGGTTCTTGTAGAACCCTCGGGTAGCAGATCAACGAGGTTTATCACCAAGGTGGTGGGTGAGGTTCTTGTAGAACCCTCGGGTAGCAGATCAACGAGGTTCATCATCAAGGTGGTGGGTGAGGTTCTTGTAGAACCCTCGGGTAACAGATCAACGAGGTTCATCAAGGTGGTGGGTGAGGTTCTTGTAGAACCCTCGGATAACAGATCAACGAAGTTCATCACCAAGGTGGTGGGTGAGGTTCTTGTAGAACCCTCGGGTAACAGATCAACGAGGTTCATCACCAAGGTGGTGAACAGTGTTCTAGTGTTCAAGGTTATGGTAGAACACAGTTATAGCAGTCTAGTTATCTACAATGTTTCGCTCACGTGGAAGTTTTTACAAGTCACCTGCGAGCGAAACGTGCCTATGAAGAATTACTGTTATTAATATGTGTTTTGTCAGAAATGTTGAGTGTATTTGTTGTCCAGCAATGTGTACATGTATCGATGTATGTACATGTATTGTATGTATATTATGTATGTACGTATGATTGTACGTATGTATGTACGTATGTATATGTACGTATGTATGTAGTATACGTATGTCACGTACGTATTTGATGTACTATTATGTATGTATGTATGTATGATATGTTGTGCGAATAAGAAGTTTTTTAAAGAACTTCAGAATGTGGCCTGTTACCATTTATTTCTTATGCAACAAGATTTTTGAATCCGAGTTATTTAAAGTTTTGAGAGTCTAGGGGAAATAATTTCAACTGGGAAACTCCATAGAATAATATTCAAATTTATTAAAGTATTTAAATACAATACTTTATCTTCTCTTTGTAGTTAATGTAACTTAATACTTTGTACAATAAATTTACCATATACATTTAGTTCAAAATCATGGAAATGTCATATTAATAAGGAAGTTTAATTATTCTTCTTCTATCTAAGTCCTCATTAATATTTACGTCTCTTTCTTAACAAGACTGTAAACTCAAAATACAAAAGGTACAAGATTTAACAAGACCTTTGAATCTGGCCGTATAGTATCTCTATGGATTACTGAACTGACCAAGAATATAAATATCAAAAGAGTCTTTCAAAGTAATGAGGAACAAAGTGAGTCAGCTCTTGAGTCCAATTCTCAAAACCATTCAACTGTAAAAGCCAATATACGATCAGTTGTCAGGGCTAGAGCAGAGAGCAGACTGACTACTTGCCAGTCTGTTGACGTGTCGTCAGGTTGGATCAGCTGACCCACGTCAGCCAGCCGACATAAACAATTGAACAATTCACCGGATGGTTCCGAGACTTAAACTCTATATACACAAGAAATCCTACCTAACCATAATAGTAAAATAATAGTGATAATAGTAAAAAATAGTAATAATAACAATAATAGTGATAATAACAATAATAGTGATAATAACAATAATAGTGATAATAACAATAATACCATGGTATTTTTCATATATTAACAGATAATAATATAACGCCGAAAGTCTCTATTTTAGCTATAAACGGGGACTTTCGCGCTATAATATTAAGTGATGAACACATGCTCTTACAATATTTAAATAACACAGGATGACCAATTTAAAAGATATAACAGTATGTATGTATGTACGTATGTATGTATGTATGTATGTATGTATGTACGTATGTATGTATGTATGTATGATGTATGTATGTATGTATGTATGTATGTATGTATGTATGTATGTATGTATGTATGTATGTATGTATGTATGTATGTATGTATGTATGTATGTATGTATGTATGTATTGTATGAATGATATGTATGTATGT